GTGTGTCTGACTTAGAAGCTGAGGAGACAAAAGATTTAGGTTTGGTTTTTGTAGAAGAAGATTTGAATTCGGAGTTGCCGGAGATTCTTCCCGGGTTGCGAACATTTCTCTGTCGGGAAGAACAGAGAAAGACAGAGTCGTCGGTACCCAGATCATATTTGTCGGAGGCATGGGAGGTTCACAGTGACAATTGGAGTGGAAGAACAGAGAAAGATTTGATGGTCATAGATTTGAGAATGGCTAAGTTATGTGGTGAGAAGAACATGAAGGATAGCCTTAAATGGTGGGCTCGTTTTGTAGCTTCCAATCTGAAATGATATCCAATCTTATGATAGAGCATGGTTTTGATAGATTGGTGATATTTTTTTCCTTTTTAACCCAAGATTAATTCCATTAAAGAAAATATTACAAACTATTACTTATTCCCCTCAGGATTAAAGCACAAATTCTCAAACTTCTAAACCTGCATCCAAAAATCATTAAATCCTAAGATTCTCACTGAGACAATGCAAACGAAATCATGAGATAAGTATTAGAATTTGGAGGAGATCTTTACGATCGCGAGAAGGGAGCAATCTTGGACCGAAGAGTGAATTGTATATCCGATATGAGTATTGAAGTAGGCCTAGATACTTCATTATAGAGCCTAGCATTTCTCTCTAACCATATCACATATATAGAGGCTTGGAATGCTAATTTTATAATGAGAGCCACATTCTTATCCCTAGTAGGGTCTTTCATCTATCTTATACCATCCTCAAACAAGATTGGTGGAGAAAAATGGACTTTGGAAGAGAAGAAAAACCAAATCTCAGAGCTGTAAGAACAATCAAAGAATAGATGTTGTCGGGATTCAAAACCTGCATTGCAGAGTAAAACATTATGAAGGTACCTGCAATCCCCAAGACCTTTACCTATCTCGAGTTGGCAGCCTATTTTGTGCTTGGGAATACGATCCTTGAACCAGACTGCTTTGTGCCAAGTCACCTCCATCTCCGGAGGATTCAGACATTTCCATGTTTCAAGAGATGAGAAATGATCTGAAAGACGATTTATCATCCACCTCTAAATCAGAAATCTGTGAGGGATTAGGGAGGCATTGCAGAAACAATCGAATGATAGGATTCCTCCTGCGAGAAGAAGAAATCCACCACAAGCAATTTCTTAGAGCATCTGACATGACAAAAGAAAGTGGCAAACCAGAAACTCTATGACCATTGTCACCTGCTAGTTCAATCAATGGACCCTTAAAAGTCCAATTATCGATCTTTCCTTTTTTTTCCCTAACACTCCATACAATTAAGCATTGCTTTTCGAGTCCTGAAGGGCTTACATGGGAAGACTTGACCATGTGCTTTTGCTTCTTTTTTTTTCCAAGCCAATCAGCACGGATGTTGTTATCTCACGAGATATATCTTAAATCGAAATACGTAAATGAGACTTTCAGGTCTTTAAAACCTTTTAGCTCCTCACCGGAAGCTGGACATTGGTGATCTACGAATGATAGAAACAAGATTCGGTTGTTTTTTCAACTAGAATTTTAACCCGCGCATGCGCACGCTATTGCAAAACAATTATACTGCTAAATTTTTTTACATTATTAGAGTTTTACTAAAATGACAATAAAAATACAAAACACTTTATCATTTTAGAAACTAAATGTCGAAAAATTTCTAAAAAAAATTAAAAAAATATATTATATTATAAGTTAAATGACAACGATACAATGTAAACTACGAAGTATTTTTATGCATCTAAAATGATAAATAATAGTTTCTATATTTCCGAAATTGTATGTTTTATGTTATGTACATATAGTAC